TACTTACCTATGTTTCTATGTTGCTATGTATTTATCTATTTATTTATCTATCTATCTATCTAATCTGTTTATCTTTCTAATCTCTCGAATCTAATCTATCTGTTCAGTCTGTCTATAGAGTCCATGTAGTCTATATATATATATATCTAATCTACCTAATCTATCCATCTTATCTATCTATCTATCTATCTATCTATCTATCTCTCTGTCTGTCTGTCTGCCTATCTATCTCAGAGCAGCTTATTTCAGCAAATCCGGGCGATTGTCTGCAAATCGAGTCAGAAAACCAGCAGCTGCCTGTCGCAAAAGGGGTGGCCTCGAGTCTAAAGCAAGCAGCCGCGGAAGTCAAAAGACCAGGAAGTTCCAATCAGTAAGCTGCAAGCTAGATACGGGAAAACAGGGAACAGAAGCGACCACGGATTCCTACTCTCCTCTACCCGGTTGCTACATACATATGTAGGTACATACATGCGTGCATGCATAGATGACATTTAGATGTCTACAAAATGCGCTGTGTTTCTGCCTTATGCAGAGAGGAAGCTGGAATCTCTCAGCTTACCCACCGATGCCCTTCGTTTATGCTGCGTATCTGCATCAGACTTGCTGCGCTTCTGCAGCTATCGCACAAACACCTAGGTATGTGCTTACAGGCATGTTGATTCAAGAAAATAGATGTTTGCGTAGGTTCAGGAGTCCGATGCGATGAATCAACGGAACGTTGTCCGTGTGTCTTTCCTCTCGCCCCGCTTTCGAGCCAGTTTTGCTCAAGTTTTATCACGCCATCCCATACTACTATCCGCTACCGAAGAATCCCGTCGAGCAATGGCGTCTCTCCACGCTCAGCAATTTGAGATCCTCGTGGCGTGCACGTGCAACTGCTTCTCCTCCGTGGGAATGCTTCTGTTCAACAAGCTGGCTGTCCAAGCGCTGCCTTTGGAGTGCAGTTTGGTGCCTTGCCTCGCTTCAGGCGTGTTTAACATGTGCGCTTCAGCCGGTAGCGGTGAAGCTCCAGTTCTATGCCAGCTGCGAGTCTTGCCGACGGCCAGAAAGTCACAGATACCGAAAGTACACCCAGCAAAACATCTGTGAAGCACCGTTCTCCATGTGCTGTTTGCCATAGGGTGCAAAACGAGGTTGCGGTAGAAGTGCGGACAAAACCACGGCCCAGGTTTGGCTGCAGCTCTTCTTTGCGGCCTTCTTCATGCTAATCTTTGGCTTCCCCTACTTGCATCTCGGCTAGCAGCAGCAGCAGGAGGAAGAGGAGTAGCAGTAAAGTAGTAGCAGTAGTCGCAGTTGTCCTAGCAGCAGCGGCAGCAGGAGGAGGAGGAGTAGTAGTAGTAGTAGTGGTAGTAGTAGTAGCAGCAGTAGTAGTAGTAGCAGCAGCAATAGCAGTAGTAGTCGTCGTCGTCGCAGTAGTAGTAGAGAGTAATTGAGCAAGCAGAACGAAGAGTTAGTTGTCGTTCATGCCATGGATAAATTTGGTCGTGGTCGTCGTCGTCGTGGATACGATCGTGGCCACAGCACATGTTTTGACATAGTCGTCCTCACGCTCTTCGCAGCGCCCAGCTTGCTTCAATTCCAGCGTTACATGTCCAAAAGATGTTTGTTTGGCAGCTTTCCCGCATAATCGAAGAAAGTTACGAAGTAGTGATCGTTTGGTTCCTTCGAGCAAGCAGAAGCGGCGACTTACGTGTAGATCAGTTGACCATCAGCACAGCACGATCTTGCCAGTTGCCATAGTCAGCAGGTCAAGCCTTAAAACGAAATGGAATGTGAGCGTACCAAGGCAGGAATGGTACTCTTGGGGCAAGTAACAGAAGAATTGTTGATTACATGGCTTCACATTGGTGATAAATGACCTTGCTTTACCACGAGGCACGTTGGTTCCATGAAGGACTTCCTACGCTGGTGCATGGTCGTCCCGTTCTTCACTGGCATGCTTATGTGCCCTCGCCTTCACTGTTACGAGTTCTTTCCGGTTGACTACGAGTTGAGATTGCCGTTTCGGCTTCCACTGAAGGATGCTGGCAGACACGTCAAGCGGAGCTCAGAACATTCAAATCTGCTTCCTATGTTCGGGTCTTAAGCAGGGAGCTGAACGTTCCGTCTCCAGACTCATGCATGTAAGCTCTACGCTACATGTTCAAGCCTCACAGCCTTGATATTCCGGGAAAGGTGGCGTCCGGTTTCGGGCGGCCCTAAACCTGTGACTCAGGACTTCCATCCTTGCTTTGCCGCTTGCTTGCAGACTTGGAATTTGCATGTTAGGTTTGTCCTTCAGTCAGGCTTGTCGTTTCGATTGCCCGGGAGAGAGAGTGGCGTTTGTTCTTGTTCTTATCAATGAAGGAAACCAGCACCATGTTTGGCGGCTGCCTGTCGTTCCGATGGACATGTCGAACACGGGGTGCAGTAGCCCCAGTACTCGTGTTAGTAGCAGGAATAGAAGCGCTGGCAGTGGTGGTGGTGGTAGTGTTCGTAGCAGTTGTCGTCGTCGTCGTCG